TCCTGAGTACAGTGATACCACCCATGCATAGGCTTGTCGGATTGTTTGGGGGCTAAAAGGCCACATTTGGCAGGTGCGCAAATCCATTTTTCAACTTGGAATTTTGACATGTAGTCAACCTGCGCACATGTCCTATTTGGGCCAATGTATTTTACCCCCATCAAACCATATATTTTTGAAAAGTAGACAACTCAGGGTATTTTAAATGGTGGTAGTTTAATACTTTTCATGCAATAATTCTACCACCAGCCTTTGGCAAACTTTTGGGTAGTAATTTTCTTCGTGTTTTTTTACACATACATTGTACTTTAGGCATGAATTAACAGATCGTGTTATGTGTCACTGCCAAACAACACCCCAATATGTGTTCAGCAACATCTCCTGAGTACAGTGATATCACCCATGCATAGGTTTGCTGGGTTGTTTGGGGGCTAAAAGGCCACAATCGAGACTTGTACATATCAGTTTTTCAACTTGATATATAGGTATGCTTGGCCTGTCTTCAGTTTGGCATATTTTTGCATCCCCCAGTTAATGTTAACATCATGAAAGTTTATATTTTTATAAAGTAGACATTCCAGGGTATTGTATATGAGGTGTTTTCACATCTTTCCCCCAACCATTGTGCTAAACAAATTGCAGAGAACGTGCATGGTGGTAATTTTTGAATTCTGCTTTTTATGCACACGTCATCTGGTTTTGGCCAGCCAGTTATATGTTACTACTGTAGCGGAGAGGCAGTATAATCCACGATATCTCCGTGGGTAACAGGAACAACAAAGGATAATCCAGGGAATCAGCATATATTAATCCAAACAGCACTGCAGTAACCCTTCCTTCCCAAGAACTAGACGACACATAGGCTGGGAGTCAACTGAGGTTTTAATCACAGGTCACAGTATTTATGCAGTTCCCCATGCAAGGGGTTTCCAAACTGACATTACAGGGGTTGTACAGGAGGGGACTACATGGGGGACTTACATTACACCATATTTCTCCCATCAGGCACCGCTGCACGAGAGGGATAGTCTTCCCAGAATGCACCGTTACGTGGACTATCCCCTCGTGCAGCAGAACCGATAATTCGCATAAAAATCAATAACTTGGTGAATATATAGTGGATTTACACGAATGGACGTTCGGCAGATAGCTGGGGTCTGAGGGTATCATTCGTGAGGTTACCGCTCAGATCCCAGCTAAAATAACCGAACGCCGCACGAACAACACAATTCATATAAAACATTCAAAAAGAACCGATTGCTATTAGGGAACAAAATACCGAACGTCCCGAAACTCCCGAACGTCCTGGAGGCTCAGCGGGGCTCATGCCGTCGAGTAGCCGTTTTTAGTACCAGGCGCTCGACGACATAACCCCGCTGGGGAACAAAGGATCCAAGATGGCCGACCGCCGCATGGTCGGTAGTCGAACGACGGCCACCCAGGAGAGCCTCTAATAACCGATTGCAACAATGTTGCAATCGGTTAACTAGCGCCACACGCCTCTAAGTGTGTGGGCTATTAGGGGGTATCGCATTCGTTTCACGAACGGCCCTCCAAAGTGCCGTTCGCGAAACGAACGGGAATCCCCATACAAACCGCCATTTGCATTCGGCGGAACAGATAGGTACAGGCAATGCAGGGAATACATGAAGCAGGCACATACAGGTACAACGCATCTCTCTCCAGACCTATAGGCAACCCTTAAAGGCATAGTGTCCAGTTATAGTCCGAGTGGCTAGGTTTGCCACAATGCTCCCCCAGAACCAAGCCGGCATACACAGTCTGATCCCAACGGATCGGCTTGGGGATGTCCGGAGGAGTACTCACGAATCACGGCTCCAAGTCTGTTTGTCTAGACAACCCGTCGGCGTTGCCATTCTGCTTCCCAGGGCGGTAGTGGATAGTAAAGTCAAAAGGCTGCAGCGCCAAACTCCAGCGCAGCAGCCTGGCATTGTCTACTGACACCCTGTTCAGCCACACCAACGGGTTGTGATCCGTGAGTAAAGTGAAGGGTTGCCCGTATAAGTAGGGTTGCAACTTCTTGAGGGCCCACACCACAGCCAGGCACTCCTTTTCAATGGCGGCGTAGCTTACTTCCCTGGGTAAAAGTTTTCGGCTTAGGTAAGCTACGGGGTGCTCGCCGCCATCGGGTCCAACTTGGCTCAATACTGCTCCCAATCCAAACATAGAAGCGTCTGTGTGGACGAGAAAGCGTTTAGTTGGATCAGGAGCAGAAAGTACAGGAGAGTTAACAAGCGCCGTCTTGAGCTGTTGGAACGCCTGCTCACACTCTGGGGCCCAGACTACTAACTTAGGGAGGTTCTTGCGGGTCAGGTCTGTGAGGGGTTTGGCGAGGGCGCTATAGTTGGCCACAAACTTCCGGTAGTACCCGGCGGTCCCTAAAAAGGCGAGCACTTGGGTCTTGGTGCGAGGGGTAGGCCATTGGGCGACTGCCTCTATTTTAGCAGGTTCGGGTTTCTGTTGCCCACTCCCTACCCGGTGCCCCAGATACTGGACTTCCGCCATACCGATATGGCATTTGCTGGGTTTTAGGGTCAGTCCGGCCTCTCGGATTCGGTCTAGAATGGCTCCTATGTGAACCAGATGTTCGTGCCAGGAGTGGCTGAATATGGCGATATCATCTAGATACGCGCAGGCATACTCCTGGAACCCATCTAATAGTCTGTCCACCATTCTCTGGAAGGTAGCTGGAGCGTTTTTCATCCCGAATGGCATGACCTTAAACTGATACAGGCCAAACGGGGTGACAAAAGCCGACTTAGGGATGGCGTCTTCCGCTAAGGGAATCTGCCAGTACCCTTTGCACAAGTCTATAGTGGTTAGGTATTGACCCCTGGCCATCTTGTCGAGGAGTTCGTCTATTCGGGGCATGGGATATGCGTCAGAGGTCGTTTTATCGTTGAGCCGTCGGTAGTCTACGCAGAAACGGGTCGTCCCGTCCCGTTTTGGCACCAGTACTACCGGGGAGGCCCAGGGGCTGTCCGAGTGCTCTATTACTCCTAGCTGAATCATCTCCTCAATTTCCTTGCGCATATTTTCCTTGACTGCTTCTGGAGTGCGGTATGGGGGTTGGCGCAAGGGGGTCGGATCTAACGTTTCTACCTTATGGGTAGCCAACGGGGTATAGCCGGGTAAATTGGAAAACGTGGCCTTCTTTTCCCGAAGCAACTTTTGTACCTGGGCCCGTTCTTGGGCATTTAATCTTTCTCCTAACTGTACCTCTCCCAGATCTCCGCTCTGGCCCTCTTGGTCTAGGAGATCGGGTAGGGGTAGGTTATCAAAATCTTCCGTGGCAGGGGCACAGATTGCGGTGACTTCCTCAGTCCGTTCGTGGTATGGCTTGAGCATGTTCACATGGAGCATGCGTTTGCCTCCCACGCCGGTAACCGGGCCGATCACATAGGTGGTGTCACAGATCTGTTCCACCACTTTGTATGGGCCCTGCCAGGAAGCCTGCAGCTTATCTTTGTGGACGGGTCGCAGGATTAGGACTTTCTGCCCCACCTGGAAGCTGCGGTCCCTGGCTCCCTTATCATACCATCGGCGCTGTCGTTGTTGCGCTACCTGGAGATTGTCTCGGACGGTCTGGGTTAGCCTCTCCAGGCGTTCCCTGAACTCGAGCACATATGGTAAGATAGGGGTGCCATTAATGGTTTCGTCTCCCTCCCAGTGTTCCCGTATCAAGTCAAGAGGTCCCCTCACTCTCCTCCCGAATAATAATTCGAACGGAGAGAATCCGGTGGATTCTTGTGGCACTTCTCGATACGCGAACAGTAGGTGGGGTAAGAACCGCTCCCAGTCCTTTTGGGTGTCCATGAACGTGCGGATCATTTGTTTCAGGGTTCCGTTAAACCGTTCACAGAGCCCATTGGACTGGGGGTGATATGGGGAGTTGAGGATTTGTTGTATCCCACATATTTTCCAGAGCTGATGGGTCACTTCAGCAGTAAACTGGGTGCCTCTATCGGAGATAATCTCCCGGGGAAATCCTACCCGGGTGAATATCCTCATCAGGGCCTCGGCTACCGTTTCTGCGTGTACGTTCGTTAGGGCCACTGCCTCGGGGTACCGGGTGGCGTAGTCCACCACAGTTAGGACATACTTCTTGCCGGAGGGGCTGGGTTTTGCAAGGGGACCTATGATGTCTACTGCCACCCTACTGAATGGTTCTTCAATGATGGGCAGAGACCGTAGTCGGGCTTTGTATCTGTCCCCCCTCTTGCCTACCCTTTGGCAGGTATCGCAGGTCTGACAATATCGCTTAATATCCTGGGAAATACCTGGCCAAAAGAAATTTTGGGTCAGCCTGTGCTTGGTCCGACTGATGCCTAGGTGTCCAGACAGAGGGATATCATGGGCTATGCGTAACAGCTCTAACCTATACTTTCGAGGCACTATTAGCTGTTTAATGGGCAACGGTATTGACCCGGACACTACCTTCTCTGCGTGCCGATATAGTAGTCCTTTGTCCCAGATATATCTTTCCCCCTCTAACCCGGCTTGATCTTTATCCATGCGGTCTTTGTATACCTGTAACGAAGGATCTAGGGCTACTTCGGCCCCGAACTCTATGGAATTGGCCCAGGGCATGATAGGGGGTAGGGGAGGGTCATTGCTTACCTGAGCCTCAGAGTGTTCGGATGGTGCAGTGGTGCGGGCCTGTTGCCGGGTCACAACCGGGTATGCTTCTTGTACGGTGGGCTGTGGAACAAAAGCTGAAGTCAGCTCCCCCAAATCGTTGCCCAAAATCACATCCGCTGGCAAGTCTTGCATCATCCCCACATATACATTCCCGTGCCCCGCTCCCCAATTCAAGTGCACCTTGGCCGTGGGTACTTTGTAAATGGCTCCCCCAGCCACCCGCACAGCCACACAGTCCCCCGTGAGCTTGGGCTTTGGTACCAGATGACTGCGTACTAGAGTTAGGGTGGCTCCAGAGTCACGAAGTCCTTGTACTTTCCTCCCCTCCATGTGTACTTCCTGGCGGTGCCCTTGGCGGTTATCGGAGGCGGCCTGGATAGGGTTCACCTCGTGTAGAGTGCCGAGGGGTTCCTCCCGGGTTGTCCCCAACTCCAGATTTTGGTAGGATTCGGCCTGTAGACAATGGACTGCGGCACGGTTGCTCGGGGCGGCGTTATTCCAGCTGGGTCGAGGCCGGTTCCGTGGGCAGTCTCTCTGGATGTGCCCCTGTTGGTTGCAGGTATGGCACCGGATTGGTGGACGTGCTGAATATCTGGGGGGGTAGGAATTCTGGTTTACCCCTGGTCGCTGGTGAGTTGCGGGGCCCCCTGGAGGGCTGGTCGTTGTAGGGGGGATGGTGGCTCGGGTTGGTATGGGTTGATCTCTCCGATTGTCCTGGAAATCGTCTGCCATATTAGCCGCTTCCTGCAGGGTGTGTGGCTTTCTGTCCCGGATCCAGTTTTGTAGGTAGGTCGGGACGCCATTGAAGAATTGTTCCAGTACCATTAGCTGGAACAGACCCTCCAATGTATCAACTTGGGCGGCCTCCAGCCACCCCTTGGCAGCTCGTTGCAGCTGGTGCGCCCATTCCACATGGGTGTCCTTAGTGGGTTTTTTAATGTCCCGAAACTTCTTTCGGTATGCCTCTGATGTGATGGCATACCGGGCTAGGATGGCCCGTTTTACTTTAGCGTAGTCTCTACTATCCTCGTCTGGTACTGCCCGGTACGCTTCGGCGGCTCGCCCAGATAATCTCCCCGCTAGTAGGGGTACTCTGTCTGCATCATTAATTTCGTGCAGCAAACACAGTCTCTCGAAGTCCTGTAAATAGTCGTCAACACCACCCTCTGTCTCCACATAGCTTTTGAAGGCTTGATATGGGATTTTGGCTTTCCCTGGGAAAATATGGACTGGCGTTGCGGCTCTTTCCCCGGCTTGCTGGTTCCCTGGCGGTCCCCTAGCCATAATGTACTCCTGTACATCAGCGAACAGCCGGTTAATCATCTCTGTAGATGGGGTTCAGGAAATAAAGCCATTCGTGCTCGGAATTCCGCTGTAAATTCGTGGGTTTGTCCCTCCATTCGAGGTGCTGCAGCAGCTGCGGCTCTGTCTCCTTCCATGAGCTCCGTAATTAGGACAGCCTTTGCCTTGTTACTGGTGATTGCTCCTCTTGCTTCCAGCAGCTCCTTTAATGTGCTCCGTTTTAGCAGGGCGTAATCTGTTCCCATTCACCTGCTGTTCGTGAGGTTTATTCGAATGCGCTAATTCCCGAATGCTTGTTCCTTGATTCGTTTAAAAATCTGCCGAACGTTGCTTTGCTGTGTAAATTCAATCCCGTCGCTTGCCACCAATTGTAGCGGAGAGGCAGTATAATCCACGATATCTCCGCTGAGTAACAGGAACAACAAAGGATAATCCAGGGAATCAGCATATATTAATCCAAACAGCACTGCAGTAACCCTTCCTTCCCAAGAACTAGACGACACATAGGCTGGGAGTCAACTGAGGTTTTAATCACAGGTCACAGTATTTATGCAGTTCCCCATGCAAGGGGTTTCCAAACTGACATTACAGGGGTTGTACAGGAGGGGACTACATGGGGGACTTACATTACACCATATTTCTCCCATCAGGCACCGCTGCACGAGAGGGATAGTCTTCCCAGAATGCACCGTTAAGTGGACTATCCCCTCGTGCAGCAGAACCGATAATTCACATAAAAATCAATAACTTGGTGAATATATAGTGGATTTACACGAATGGACGTTCGGCAGATAGCTGGGGTCTGAGGGTATCATTCGTGAGATTACCGCTCAGATCCCAGCTAAAATAACCGAACGCCGCACGAACAACACAATTCATATAAAACATACAAAAAGAACCGATTGCTATTAGGGAACAAAATACCGAACGTCCCGAAACTCCCGAACGTCCTGGAGGCTCAGCGGGGCTCATGCCGTCGAGTAGCCGTTTTTAGTACCAGGCGCTCGACGACATAACCCCGCTGAGGGAACAAAGGATCCAAGATGGCCGACCGCCGCATGGTCGGTAGTCGAACGACGGCCACCCAGGAGAGCCTCTAATAACCGATTGCAACAATGTTGCAATCGGTTAACTAGCGCCACACGCCTCTAAGTGTGTGGGCTATTAGGGGGTATCGCATTCGTTTCACGAACGGCCCTCCAAAGTGCCGTTCGCGAAACGAACGGGAATCCCCATACAAACCGCCATTTGCATTCGGCGGAACAGATAGGTACAGGCAATGCAGGGAATACATGAAGCAGGCACATACAGGTACAACGCATCTCTCTCCAGACCTATAGGCAACCCTTAAAGGCATAGTGTCCAGTTATAGTCCGAGTGGCTAGGTTTGCCACAACTACCATAAAACTTTTTTAACCAAATGTGCAGGTATCAAATGCACCTTTAGCAGCATTCTCTAAACTAACTCCTGCAAAAAGAATCTAACTGGAGATTTGGGGGAAGGAAACTGACTAACTAAAATTTGCTGCGTTCAAAAGAAAAAAAACAGTGCAAAGGGGTGTTTTTCCTTTTCCCTTTTTTATAACAGACCCAGCAACATTTCAGGGGATTTGGTTTTTTTTTGCAGTTGGCGGTATCTTAAAAATAAAATGTCTGGACTCCTCTGGCACCGTTGTTGGAACTTGACCATCTCCATAAATTATTGTGGAAATCAGCTTGAACTAAAATTGGAGAAAGGTGGTTCTTTCTGGATTCATTTTTTTAAAGAGTAAAAATGAATTATGTGTCACTACTTGCGTCAGGTAGATAGCCACCTTTTTATACCAGGCTTTTGTCTTTCTTAAGATAAGATATGGCTGCATCAGCTGATCAGCCAAATCAACACCCCCGTGTGCATTTTATAAGCCCTGATGCAAACAGGTTTGGTCTGTACTCTGCCTCGGACAGTGACGTCTGACATACTTTCATCATGGATGGTGGTTAGTATATTAACATCCTTCCTGTCCTTAACTTTTATTGCAAGCACTTTAGCTTTGTGCAGACCTTTACATTCACTTTTTTTAATTTGGCCTCTATAAAAGTTCTGGGGAAATCCTTGGCATATCTTCTCACACTGCCACAGGGCAGTATCTAGAAACCCTAAAGAGTTTGAAACAAACAAACAATGCTATAAAAATTGTCCACATAAAGGTGGTAACCCTTATTGAACAAGGGGATCACTAAGTCAAAAACAAGTTTCCCGCTTGTCCCCAGAGAGTCAGTACAGCCAGGAAGATCCAGTTGACCATCTTTCCCCTCATATAAAGGAAAGGCAAATGTATTGCCACTTACGCTCTCGCACAGTTTGTAGAATTTTACACCATACCTAAAGCGCTTTGAGAGGATGTATTGTTTCAATCCTAATCTCCCTTTATATTTCATTAACAATTCATCAATAGATACTTTTTTTGAGGAGTATAAACTTCAGTAAATTTGTGCTGAAGATGGTCTACCAGTGGGCGTATTTTATGAAGCCTATCATATTGGGTGTGATCTCTGGGGTGACAGAGGGTATTGTCATTGAAATGTAAGTATCTCAGCAGCAGCTCATATCTTGTTCTAGACATGGTTTGAGAGTACACTGGACTAGAACAGATTGGGTTGGTGCTCCAGTAAGAGCGAATTGATGGCTTCTTTATAATCCCCATGAGAATTGTAAGAGCCCAGAATTTTTTAAGTTCAGCGACATCTGTGGGATGCCAAGCATGCTCCCTGACTGTATAGCTACCTGGATTGGTCTCAGTAAATTGGCTAGCGTATAAATTAGTCTGGGAAACAATCTCCTCCCAGATGGTATCCCCTAAAAATAACTCCATATATTGTATAGGGGAGAAGTCAACCACATTCACATTAATGCCTGCGTTGGCACTAAAAGGGGGGATGTTGGGCTCAGCTGACTGTGGAGGTACACAGTCCTCCTCCACATTCGGCGTAGCAGGGGAAGCACAGCTTCTTTTAGCAGCTGGCTCACACACAGATGACATGTCACTAGACGTGCCGCTAAACTGACCTGGGTCAAAATCGGACGCAGTTTCAGTGGCGTCAGAGTCTGACGCCAAGAAGGCATATGCCTCCTCCAAGCTGTACATGCGCTGCATGCTAACAGACTAAACTAACAAAATACTAAACACAATTTTATTTTATTTTATTTTTTACACTAAAACAGACTAAAACAGACTAAAACAGTAATCCCTAAACTAACTCCTGTTAGAAGAATCTAATGGAGATTTGGGGGAAGGAAACTGACTGACTACGACAGACTACAACAGTCTACGAAAGACTAAGACAGACTAAGACAGTCTAAGACCATCTAAGACAGTCTAAGACAGTCTAAGACACAGATTTTTTAAATAAAGTTAACCCTTAAGGGAAAAAAAAAAATACAGACAGTACAAATGCACTGTCTGTAACAGATCTGGCAGGGAAGGGGTTAAAAGGGAATTTTTATTAACTGCTGATACTTTTTAATAATCTCTGGAACACCTGCTGCAACAATATATCACGATCTCTGTCTCTCTCCCCTCACAAAACGCTACAGAGGGGAGAGAGGCAGAGATCAGTGTCAAAGTGAGTGTTTGTAACACCCACTTTGACACCAGTCAATTGTGAGCGATCGCAGATCGCTCACATGCCGCAATTGGCTGTTACTATCTGCCTGGGATGCCGGGCAGATAGTAACAACGGGATTTCGGCGGAAGTGATCTCCGCTCGCTCCCGCCGCCTGTTTTCCGTTAGGACGTTTCAGAACCGTCCTCGGTCGGCAATGCAAAAATGCCGAGGACGGTCCTGAACCGTCCTGCGTCCTGAAGGGGTTAATCTCCAACAATGTATTTACAATTAAGTATTTGTTTGGCTTATTTATTGTGGGGAGATCCAACGATATGGAAGTCTTAACACTTACAGTATAACGTACTGCAATGTGAATTGTCAAAGTCAATCCAAAGAGTTTTACCCACTTAGCAGTCAATTGTATTAAACTGAAATCTGAATTGCTAAACTTTGCTTAAAGGGACACCATAGGCACTGTATCTGCTTCACCTCATATAACTGGTTATAGTGTCTGGAGTCCCCTGGTACCATCATTTCTTTCAGCATTAAATAGTTTTTAATGTTTTTATGTTTTAATGCTAAACAAGAGTCCCCGGCAGTCCATCCCCTCGGTGCTGCTTTGGCTAATAAGGAAATATTAGCCTGAGCAGCAATAGGAAGCTGTGATTGGCTGAGAGTGTCAGCTGACTGCTTTTAGCCTTTCAGAGCTCCAACTGACGGTATGAATGGGTATGACAACAAGGAAGTGTGTAATCTGGGCCTTAGCTGCACATACAGAAGGGGCTGGACTG